TACCACTACATGGGCAAACCAATCAAGTTGTTTTATAATGTGGTTTATAAATTGTATCCTATTTTTTTTCCCCAGTGTTGACTCCTGGCAACTGCCTGGACAAGTCCTTGCAGTTTCTTGGCAAGGTTCTTCAGAAGTGCTTTGCCATTGCCTCCTTCCTAGGGCTGAGGTAGTATGTCTGGCCCAAGGTCACCCAGCTGGCTTTATGCCTAAGGCAGTACTAGAACTCATGGTCTCCTGGTTTCTAGCCTCATGCCTTAACCACTACACCAAACTGGCTCTCCATTAATACCTAACCTCAGTTAAACATCAGGCCAAGAATATTTTTAAACAGAGGATCTTGAATCTGGGGGCCCAAACCTATATTGAATCTGTTGCAAATACTTGATCTTTAAAAATGGTTGGCTGAGAATGGAAAGCTATTCCAAATTAGAAAAATTAGATTCAATGGTGAAACATGGAAGGTTTCATCAGATGTTACACTATGAGAGAAAACTGCCAACTATAAGCTTCAGTAAGAGGACAGTACTTAAAGCCACCATTAGACAGAACGTCTTTTGCTTTGAACTTTGGATAGCAGCAACAGACTTTATTGTCTTAGTGAACAAACTTGCTACTAGCAGAATTGCCAAGTTCATAGTCAAGCCCATTCAATTGAGAATTCATTTTACAGAACAGATTGGGATAATATGCAAAAGGATAATGAATTTATTTGTACTTCATTTTATATCTTTCTGTATTTAAATTTATTTTACATATTTGTATATTGGTATCGTCCTACATTTTGATAAGGTCAATTGACTAATTAATAAAAGTGAACGAATGAATGACTTTTGTATCTTTATGCAGCCATCTAGTGGCTGTCTGGATTTTAGCAGTCCAGATATAGTTAGGTAAATCTAGAGTATGAAATATATTAGGTAACTCTTTGGTAACGAGTTGGCAGAAGTCAAGGTTGCAGCCATTGGCCCTTTAATCTCTAATTAATCACCGTAGAGTCTAGGAACATAGAATAGAGGGAAACACATATTCTAAAATATGCATGGTTCCAAAACCTTGTTTTTGTTTTGAATCATATTGTTCAGTTTTCCAGAGAAAGATCAATTACTGACAGCCAGACTGCATGTTACAATCAGATCTTTCCTCTGGCTCCAATCTATGTGCATTTCAACCCTGTTTTATTATTATTTTAATTCCATCCTGAACTTTGCTTTTTAGATTACAGTATGGCTTATACTATAAATAGTGAGAACCATCACTAATTTCTCTTATGGTTTGCTTCAAAGTTCAAGTGACTATCTGTCAAAGATTTAAAAAAAAAACAAAAAACATACATCCCAAGCCACTTGAGGTGAAAGTGATAAAGCATAATTTATCCACAAGTTGAGGAAAACATCTGAGCTAACATATAATAGACATCATAGCGTAAACAAGCTCAGGCAATTGACCTAAATGAGAGAACTGTAAAATTCCAATACAATGAAAAATAAAACTGCCCTAGGGCCCCAAAATGCAGGCAATTCAAAATGCAGGTTAAAAAGATGAGAACATATTTTCATGTAGACAAATGTTCATTCTCAGAAAAAGTAATCAATATCCATGTGGACTTCAAAATTGTACAGATTTTAAAATGCTAACCTTAAAAAGTTATGAGTTCATGCAGATGCAAATCCTGGGTACAAAAGAATGTCATGATCTTCTTCATTAATATCATATTGGACCTCAGTTACTGGCTTCAAGTGTGTAGACTTGCATAACTTTGTCATTAGCTCATGAATTGCAGGAACTTTCATCCACAAGGAGAAGTGCAATCTTGTCCAGTTGAATCCTGCTCATACTGTCAACAAGTTTTGTTGACCGCACTATGTGGGTGAGTTTATCAAATGATATCCTTGGCTGTTCTTACAAATGGGAACAGCGTGCTGTTTTTCCCCTTTCCATAGTAGTTTTCTCATTTTTTTTTCTATTCTATTCTATATAAATGGATATTTTATATTGTATAACAATTGCCAAGATCAAGGGAACTTTGCTGAACTACTGATTGAGGCATCTTGGATCAGTCACATAGTCCTAACTGCCTCACCTTCAAAACCTGACATTTCCCCAGTCTTGACAATCTCTTCTTGAAAGTGTCTCTCTTGGTATATTATGAGGACAATTCTACCTGCAGAATTATCCAATGTTTCCCATATGAAAAAATAAGGCATTGTATAAGGAAGGTAGGCCAAAAAGCTAAAGTCAGAAACTTAAATATGCTATTGAAAATCTTACTGCTTCAAAATTAACCTAATTGGGTTCTAGAATATAATTCATTCAGATTGAAATAAATGACAGATAAAGCTGCGTCAAAGTATTAAGATAGGGCTCTATATAGAACACTTAAAATTAGTGAAGCAAAGGTAAACTATCAAGTACAAAGCTTCACCTTCCCCCCCAAATAACTGTGATCACCTTCAGGCCTTCCTAAATATTTTTCTATCACTTTTCACTCATTAACTGATCGCTCTGATTTATCTCAGTTCCTATATTAAGGATGCTTTTCCCTGATTCCTCACTTTACAGGTGTTGATGATGGATAAAGTAATATTCTAGAAAACAACTATCAAAAAATTCCTAGAAAACAAATTTCAAACATCCCCCTCTCTTAGTATTTTTGTGCATCTCCAATATGTACCTAGCAAAATAAAAATAACTGGGACTTTAATTTTCAGGAAGAAATTTCAATGGGAATTTGCAAACTAGTGGCTTAGAAATACTTAAGGGAATTTCCCCCAATGACTTAAAGCATCTTCATAGCATCACTCAGTCATCATTGAACTGACATAAAGCCTATCCTTGTAAACTATTATTTTGGCACAGTGATGTTTGGATAACTCTCAAAAACATAGAAGTCCTAAGTGAAATTCTTCTCAGTACTTCCCTTTCCTACAAAATAAGTATGGAAAAAAATATCATGAAAGTAGAGATAGGGTCTGGCACTAAATTTCTGGCAATTACATTCAATAACACTTATGCCAGAGATCATAAATTGCCAAAAATTAGCTGAATTAATTTGATATCAGCCCACTGCAAGTTAGAGACAAAATAAATACATTCTTTTTATATTTTTTTCTTCTTCTGGCTTATTTTTTTTTCTACCATGCACCTATAAATTACCTGCTTTTATATTAATATTTATAATGAGGTGATTCCCTAAATCTTGCTGCCAAACTGATATTGAAAATGCGAGATTCCCTCAGATTAAATAAAAAGAAACAGTATTGCTTGTCTCAGCTTCTTCAAGAGCTTGAATGAATACAGGGTTCCTATGCTTTGCACATTTGAAACAGCGATTTATACATGAGATAGGGAGGTACACTTTCAGCTTCTTATTTTTCTTGCATAAAATGCAGTAAATTGGGGGGGAAAGCCTATTTATTGAAACCCTCCATGTTCAAGAACATGTTGGCGGAATTACTTCTGCTTTCTTGTGCAAAATTAAGAAAAGGAAATTGGAGATTGACTGAAAGAGTTTGGTTTTCCTTTACAGAATGTCACAGCTGAACTCTTCTGCCCTTTCTTTATGGAGCACCATGGTATTCTATTAAAACTATTCCGATTTGCTCGGCCTTTCACTCGCTGCAATATGATTGGCCATTCTTTTCCATACTCCGTCTTGAAACTGCCAATAGGTTCTTTATTCCATCACTTAGCAAGGGACCTGGGAAAAAGTGACCGACTGACTCCTTCAAATGAGACAGAGAAAAGGAAATAGTTGCATTCCAATATGCTAGAAGGAAAGGGAGTGGGACCACATGGAAGAAATATGCTGGGACTTTATAGCTTAACTTTTTTTTAAAATTTTATTATTATTAGTAGCAGCAGTAGTAATAGTAATATTAAATTTCCTTTTTTAAGGTATGAAGTAAGAATTAATTATACCAGCAGCACTGCCAACATTTGACAGAATCTTAAATAAAAGCAGACATCAAAACCAAAAAACCAAAATAACAATAGTGATATTCAAAAGCCTCAAGTGCTTTGCTATTTAAAATAAACCATTTGTAATCATCTGCCTTCTATGAATTTATTTGTGCAGGGTACATCGATGGTGATAAATCTATTGTTACAAACAAAAGCAAACTGAAGCAGTATATTTTACTAATATACATCTACAGGACAATTTTCTATTATTCTGTGTAATAGAACCAAACAGCTATTTGCCTTGTAAATCATTATCTTCGGATAAGGAATAAATATCAAAGCTAGGGGTATGGGTAAGAATGTTAATGGGAGAATGTTTAAAATTATAGTGATAAGAAAGAGCAAAAAGCAAATATTTGTAATAGAAATGATCCATAGAAAAATCATTAGGGAAGGATATTTGTTTGGGAAACAATTAATGGTAACTCTTGGCTATTTTGCCATAGCTATTGATTAGCTCATTTTTAATTGTCTGGATGAAGAATTATACTACATCTGTATATATAGCACAGTGAGAGCTATTAAAATACTGACAGCTTAAAAATCAAAAGATCTTTATGCTACAAAGATGTATTATTTTTTTCTAAAGTAATAAAAAGCAAGGCACTTCTGAAAAGTTAATGGTCATTCAAAGGTCTTCTATTAAATAAAATAAGCTATAGACACTTTTTTTTTTCATTTTTAAGACTTACATAATGTATGAATATAGATTCTTACAATTTTAAAATTTGTTTATGTTTTATTTGAATGGTTTCAGAGCCACTTGTATTTTCTTGACTTTTCCTCTATGAACAACCAGGGGTTAACATAGTGCCACTTTTTGGAAGGAGAATTGGACTGTGATCATAAATGCATGTAGCAAAGGTGAACATGCAGTACAGACATGATACTATTCTTAGAATATTTTGATCTAATAAGAACCAATTAGAAATTTTATAGTTCATCACACAAGTCACTGCAGAATTCCCTACAGTGTACACTTCAATAAATTGTGCAAACTAGTCCATGGCCAGATCATGGTTAGTGAATGTACTTACCATCCTCAGTTGGTACATAGATATTCAGATAGAGGCAGTCTTCATTTTGATCTTGCACATAGGTCATCACAGTATCCAAGTTGGCAGTAAACCAAACAGGTAGCATATCATTAAGCAGTGACCTCTCATCCAGATACTGTGGGCAAACAGCAGCAAATTGTGTGGCATTCCGTATACCAGTCCATGAAGAAGGAGGTTCTGGAGGTTGGAAACGTCTCTCTCCAGTTGGAGGAGAAGCATAAGGGACTCCCAAATATTGTTCCACAGGACCAAGGATTTCATTGGGCAAGGGTGTTCTTACACCACGGATTTTGCCATAATTTGTGGTTACAACTGGGTATTGTGCTTGTCCCTCAATAAGCGTAAACCGTATTGCTAGAGCAGTTATCCAGAGGAGGAAATTAGAATTCAGCATGACACAAACAGGAGTAAAAATCAAAGGCAGCCATAAGAGTCCCACTGGCTTTGACATGGTTTTACATCAGCATTAGCAGGTCTCGAGGACTTTCACACCCAGATAAAAAACAAATTTTGCAGAAAGGCAGAAACAACTGTAAAAATCAGAAAAGTGTATGGTTGGGAGGAAGAGAGTAATTTACCAAGGAAAATATAAAGTAATCTTGATCAAGCAGGGAAAACCCAATATAAATGTGGTATGTGTCTCAGCAGATTGAACATAAACAGATCCCAGGAATACAAACAGCAACGGACCTCTTGAAGCTACAGCCCATCCCTTGATTCTTCTCTTTTAATGCTGATGTCACTTATCCAAGAAGATGAGACACCCAGATACTTAGAGCCTACTGTGCAAAATTAATATAGGGATCCATTTGAGTTAATTCCATCATGATGGAGAAGCCTGCCAGGGAGAAAAAGAGAGGGAGAGAGAGAGAGAGAGAATTATATTTTGCTAATAACAGTTTTTTTAAAAAATTACAGTTGTATAATTTTGCCACAATTCTATCACCTCTATCCATTTCTGTAAAGTAAGCATTCATGGATATTGGAATACTCTATGCCTCTCCATGGGTTATTAACAGCCATGCTTTGGGAACAATGTTAAACAGAAGCTGCCATGTCCATTGTATATTTCATTTTCCAGCATACTGAAAACTGGAGGAAGAAATGCCATGTACAACACCTTGAGCTCCTGGAGGCAAGGTGCAATATAAATCTAATAATTAAATACAACATAATTAAAAACCTATTTAACTTGAAGAAAAGTTGGCAAGAAATTGAACAAAACCCCGAGTTCTTACACTAGAACTTATATCATGTTATCTGAGGCACTTTAAACTTGCAGCAAACCTGTGAAGTCGGCTGTTTACTGTTTCATAGTTGAGAAAGAGTTTGTTTATAAACTATAGTCACTGAGGTTTTATAAAAAATCCTGAACATCTTTAGCATGTTTATGTACAACAGTGTACCTTCACAAGCAATGAAATGTTGTTGTTTTTTTTAATATTTGAACATTTGAAAATGCTGAGTTCGTTTGTCTTCTGCTCTGGAAAATCAAACACATATTTGAACAGCTTTCAGAAATATTGGGGGTGAATCTTGCTTGTAATTATATCAGGAAGAAGAGTTTTTATTTTTGTAAAATGCATTGCTTTACATTAACAGGAACACAGGAAACTCTCTTATACTAACTATGCCGTATAATTCAGTATGATAATCAAGACAAATACCTATAGTGTAGTCTAGTAACTTGGACTCCTGTTTGTTCCATATACAGAGGATGGGAGTTGCAGTCCAAAACATCTCAAGAATTACCTGTGCCAGCCATGGACTCTAATGAAGTGAGCCACATCTAATGAAGTGAGCCGCAGTTCGTGACAGCTTTTGCTTTTAAATAAAATCTTTTACTCAGAAAGGGGGCCGTCAGACTTCTCCTCATTTTTTGCCACCTTAAACTAATGTGGCTCTCCTCCTACAAAATCTATAAAAGGTTAGCTTGCCCTCTAGCAGTACTTTTCTGGAATTCAGGTAAAGAGTCTTCGCAGCCCACTCTGAGAATCCAAGGACTGAACAGAATACCTTTGTATGCTTAACATCCTCTCTTCCAATGGTTATTCTATTACTTCTGGTCATTTCTATTGCTTTTATTGATCCAATGCACATTTTTAAACATTGCCCATCTCTGAGCTTTTGGATATCTAAAAGTAATTTGGAGCCTAATGTTTACCTGTAAGCAAAAGACTGATCTTTTTAATTATATTCTAGTTGCAACAAAAGTAAGATGTGTCCATTGAAGTAATTTTCCACATCAGGACCTAAACATGCAGCAAAATGAAATTGCCAGAGGGCCTTGAAGAAATAAACACTAAATGTTCTCATGCTAGATCTTCCCAGTTTGTCCTGAGGGTGTATTCTATTTTTAACATGGGTCTTTTTGTAAACCATTAGCCAGTTATGTCACAATATCAAGTAGTTTCCACAGAATCCTGATTGGTAGGAAGTAAGCAGAAACAAAATTGCCTTTTTATTAAGGTTGAATAGGGAAAGAATAAACAAAAAATATATGTGAATTTTCACTCATGGAAATACTATTGTTTCTTTCAAACAAAATAAAAATAGAGTTATTCATACCAAACCACAGTCCCAATTCTGGTTTCTATCAACCATTTTAAGGGTAGCACTCTCAGGACTCTGCATGCTTCAAAAATGTCTCAGAAGTTAATAAAAGCAATACACATTTAATGTGGTTTAAAAGCAGCTGCATTTTTGGTCAGCTTCACATGGAAGCCTGAAAAAGGTGTCAGACCGGTTGTGCATGTATTCACATGAGGACCGAACTATTTGTTCCAAATTGTTTTTGAAATACGAAAAGCCCCACTAATTGGTAAGTGGGAATTTGTTTCTGTGAAACATATTTTGACATCTGTAACATGCATGACTTTCTAAAGTAAAGATGAGAAAGGGAGCAATTTAATACTGACTCTAGTTCCACCTACTACTAGTATGTCATTCTCAACAACAAATCATGCCTGAAGGAAGATGTTCCTTCAAGGGGTGGGGGGAAGGGTCCACTACTATTTGTTTTTTTAAAGTCCCAATACTTTTTCAAAACAACACATTTAGAACATAAGAAGCATTACCACAAAAAGGAAATTTATAATTAATGAAAGGACACCTGAGGTAATCTCACTTTTGTCAATCATCATCATCATCATCATCATCATCATCATCATCATCATCATCATCATCATCATCATCATCATCATCATCATCATCATCATCATCATCATCATCATCATCATCATCATCATCATCATCATCATCATCATCATCATCATCATCATCATCATCATCATCATCATCATCATCATCATCATCATCATCATCATCATCATCATCATCATCATCATCATCATCATCATCATCATCATCATCATCATCATCATCTACGGCTGATAGGTTCTTTCCATCTTCATAATAGAACACAGGCTTCTGATATGGATTGTGATCACTATATATTTATTTTCTTTATTTTATTTGTCACATTTATATAGCTGCCCATCTCACACAAAGTGACTCTGGGCAGCTCCGGACAATGGGGAGGGTAAACCTTTCCATTCCTCACCTCCAGGGTAAGTTCAAAACAGAGAGAGAGAAAGAATTTGGGTTGCTTGTTGGTGTTTAATTCATGCAGACAGACAGAATTATGAAAACTAGTGAATAGCGATAAATGTTAAACCTCAGCTATTGTTTGGTTGTAATCTAGCAACTTCAACAGTGCTAAAAACACAGCAAAGCTTATGAAAGAAGAAAACATATTCTTTGTCCTAACACCAGAAAACTTTTGACGGTGTTAGCTAAGATTAAGAGCTGTATGCACAGTGCTTCATCCAGTGTGGCTTTCACAACTGGATAAGTGTAGAAGTTAATCCTATGGGGAAGTAATACACTTTCAATAAGACAGTGGTTTTGAGGTATTTCTTCCCACCTCCCTTCATTGGCTTATAGTACTGGAGGAAGAAACAGAGGAAAAGGAAAAAATAATGGTTGCTGTTGTGGTTGTTTATTCAGATGCCCTATAATGACTGAGAACATTTTCAATGTGTTTCAGACAGAGCCTTACAATTCTTTTTGGAAATACCTGAAAACCCTGGCAGATGGGAAACAAGTAGTTTGTCACTGAACTACCATTCTTTCTGTGATGTGATCATTTAGCTACAGCTTCTAATAGAGCATTCAGGATTCAGATTTATTGCCATTGGTTGACTTTGAGGACAAGGTCTCTGAGTCATCTCTAACAATCTGTGAATATATCAAGCTTTTGTAGCTATACTGCGACATTTATTTACTTTACAGTGTGGTAACAAAACATATTAAAGCTACTTCAAAATGTTTTACAGTCAGGCTGTAAAATGTGAAATGATAATAACATTGATTGCATGTTCTAAGTCATTTGCAGAGAATAATTTTCTATAAATGGCATGGTATGGTATGGTATGTGGGAATGACCTTGGGAGATAGGAGGAAGAGCTGAAGACTAGACATCATCATACAAAAGGTATCTCAGCCCACAGAAGTAAAAAGAGTGTAGAAAGCATCTCAGAAGGGGCCCTCCCTTGTTTTCTGGAAAGTAAAAGTAACGGAGGGCAGAAATGCTTTTAGACTTCCAAGTTTCTGTTTCTGTAACCTTACAATAAAGGTAGTGTTCGTACTCCTGGTTTGTGCTTTTGTCTGGACTACTTCGAAGGGCTGACATGGATAAATTCCTGTCCTTTATGTCCTTTTACCCTTGTGTTGTGATGTCATAAGGCACCATTTGTCATTCTGGCATCATTGTAGTTAGAAACTGATGCCAGTCTTAGGATAAGCAACTTACCCTGCCCTCAGTTATTGCTGAAAAAATTCCACCAAGAGCTAGCTCATTTTGCTTGAGCAAGATGTTATTTTCTTTCAGACCTTATTTTAGGTAGCCTTTATTACCCTAGCAGGTTTTGTGGCTTCTTAGGAAGAACAGAAAGAAATATCTCAGGGTTCCCCATTTAATGGAAGACTTCAACAACTGTTTTTTGTTGTTATTCAAGAAAAGCAACAGAGTTGCATCATCCATTCTCATGGGAGCTTTCAGATCCAATTAACTTCTATCTAATTGTGGCTTGTAAGATATAGAGTTGTAGTGAATTTTGTTCTCCCTGAAATACCCGCCTCAATCGTTAATACTTTAAGGAATGCCACAAGTTCTGTGTCATCCCCAATGTTTTTTTGTGCCTATATCCAACCTCTGAATAAAATCATCAGAGGTTTGCCTGCTGTCAATATGAGGTGCTACTCAGCTCTTTTATTTTTATGTACTAACTTCAGGAAGGCTGTTGAACACTTGATCCAGTAATTAAAAGTGGTTTATGAGAATCATAAAGTAGAATAAACCAATACTCTGGGGATGGAAGCTCATGATAAATTTAGGACAAACTTTACTCTACCTAATGGCCAAATATGTAACTATGGAAGCTCAGGTGTTCCGAATCTTTTGGCCATTTGTAACTTTTTATGGACATAGTAGACTTTTATTCAGCTATTTATATGCTTATTACAACTAAGATGGTTTTCTGTAATATGATTTGTGCAGGACTGTTTTGAAAATTGATTTGAAAGGTGATTTCACTTAGATGAATTCACTTAGTACAAAATATGACTGTTTGAAAAGTTGTTAATATTCCTTAGTTGGATCTCACTGGTATGAGTTCTTCTGGTGGGCCATAGATTTCCAGGCCTAATGCACACTGCTAAGACAAGCCTGCAGTTAGAGCAACTTACATTTCAAAGTGTGTGTGTATTAGTAGACAAGGATCAGAA